AAATTAAGACATGGCTTCTGCTTTCAAAAACATGTAAATCTATTTGGGGAGACTAAATTAATATGAAATCTTCAGGCAAAAGTAGAAGTCGGCAAATAACTTTTTCCCCCATGTATTATTCAATCTACAAATATTTACTGGATACATCTCATGTGAATATGACAGATCAAGACCCAGTCCTCATGGAGCTTACACTCTTAACTGCAGGAGACAAATGGAAAATCAAGATACTTGATAGTTTGTCATGGAAATAATGCAATGTGAAAGAATGAAAGAGGATATTTTAGGTTAGGTTATTAAGGAAGGACTCTTTAAACGTAACATCTGTATTGAAATCTGAGTGTTGAGATGAATCGGTCTTGTACAGTTTAGGGGCAAAACATTAAAGGCAGAAGGAATAGCACATGCAAAGGCCCTACGGTGGAAATGGGCCGGCATAGTCAAAGAAGAGACAGAAGCCTGCATTTTTGAAGCATAAAAGAACGGTATTCCTAGCTTAGATCTGAGGGGAAAACATGGGCTATACCAAAGGTCTTGTATGACACAATAAGACCTCCAAGTAAAGAACTGGTTCTAGGAGTTAAGATATAATTCAACACACTTATTCTGAGACCATTATGTGTTAGTTACTTTAGAGGGAGAGAGAGATTATGTATATGTGGGGGAGTATAGGAAAAGAAAGATATATATGTAAATATTTCAAAGCAGGTGAGAGAGTAAGAGGGGTGAGTGTGAGTTACTCCTAGTAAAGCCTGGAGAAGAAAGTCCATCAGCTTAAGAGGGAAACCAGGGTAAGATTTTTTTTAATTATTATTTTTAAGAATATGGAAAATTCAGTCATATTTTTAGAGCATCGAGAAGCCGGTGGTGATAAGGATACTAAAGATATAAAAGGGGAGAATGGACAGATGGAGTAAGGTGACTATCAGGCAAGGGGAGGCAAGCCTTACCAAAAAGGTGGTAATAACATAACCCAAAGCCCTTCACCCAATTTCTCACCTGAAAGCCAAAGAAAAGCAATCAGAAATAGCATCCCTTTGGATAGTCTTTTGTAGAGGAAACAATATTAAGACATGGCATTATTAAAGTGCTAAGGATGACAAGGCATGCTTATCTTAGGTCAGACAGCCAGCCAAAATTGAGTCCCAGTGAGTGGAAAAAAGGGGAGTATGTAAAAAGCTCGGTGATAGGGCCCGTTGGTGCTAGCCCATCCTGGTTTACCTGAGACTGTTCCATTTTTGGCACTGAAAGTACCACATCCTGGGAAACCTCTCAGTCCCAGCAAACCTGGACTGAGCAAAGCTGGACATCTTACTTGATGCCAACCTCAAAAGACCAAGGATGTATAATAAATATTCTTACCTTTACTCCCCTTGCCATAGAATTAATCAAAATAACCCACAGATACTCACAAATGACATTCAACACAACTACTGAGTTTAAAAGAAAAAAAAAAGGTTACTACTGAGCATGCGCCTTCATGCAGCAGGCACTACACCAGCTGCTGGTAATTTTAAGCTCCCTGTCTTTAAGCAATTTAAGGACAGTTAAATATAAATAATTTCAAAAGCCCAAAGCAATGGAGATTAAGTCCAAGTAGGTGAGAGGTGGAGATAATTAATTTTATCTGGGAGAAGTCAGTGAAGGCGTCACATGGACAGCAGATAACATCTGAACACAGTCTGAAGAATGAGCATTTGCCAGGCAGAGAGGAGAGAGTGAAGTCAGTGGTGACAGAGTGGGTACACAGCATGTGCAAAGGTACGAAGACCGTTAAGAGCATGCCACTTAGGCAAAGCAGAGGTAGCTGTGAATGACCGGGGTTAGCAGATGACTAAGGAGAGGCGGGCAGAGGTCACAACAGGCCCTAGATGTGCTGCCTGGGGCCCCTGGGCTCCATGCCACAGATGTTGAGAAGCCACGAGATGTTGAAGAAGAGGAGGGCACTAGATGGATACATTCTAGAAAGCTTACTCTGGCAGCCATGTGATGAAGGCACTAGAGTGAAGACAGAGCTGGGGAGCAGGCAGGACAGTTAGGAGACCATGACAATGGTGTAAGTGAAAGATGACAAAGAGTTTGCACATCATACTGGTAAAAAAAAAAAAAAAAAAAGACACCAAGCTGGAATTCTAACAGGAAACTAGGCAAATAATCTATTTGTTTTCACTGCAGCTGGACTTGAGCATCCTACTTCACAAACCTGAATTTGCAAAGGTTATGACTAGGGCACATAATGATGTGAGCAGAAATTAGGAAACAAAGCTATAATATCCTCATTGTTTAGTCACTAGGAAAAGGCCTCCTGAGATGAAGGATGGTCATGTACCAGGGCACCTTCAGTTACCATGCAGCATACATTCAAACTATTTCACAAATAACACAGAACTGTTGGAAATACTAAAGGTAAAAGACTCTGATTTAGCCAAGGCTCTCTCTCTCTTTTTTCCTGCCTAAGCAAATTCAACAAACAAAAGATTTAAAAAGTAAAACCCTTCTTCACGTTGGCAGTGTAAGACATGTTTAAAGGGGGCAGTAATTGCATATTGATCACCATTTAGGCAAGCTGCATGGAGGTGAACTTTGGAATATTCATTGGGCTTAAGTTCAGGCTTTTAGCAATCAATAGCTGTTTGGCCTGACTTTCTTGGGTTGACTTTATTTGAAATATTTATTCTACTGGAGGACAAGGAGTTTATCTTAGTCTTGTCTGGGTTCATCAGGTTGTCGATCACACCAGGACCAAAATGAATGCTAGCCTCTATGAAAGTGGGCGGTTGTGGGAAATGACACACAGTCATCTACTGCTCCTTATCCTGCCAAAATGAACCTTTTGACGAGGAGGAAGGGATGGGGAGAGGGAAGTTTTCCATTGTTGTTTTAATTAGCTTGTTCTTTATTATACAAAAACACTTTTGCAATAAACACGCATTCTGAGTATAACTTTTTTTGTTCATTTGTTCTTCCATCAAATACATGAGGTACCTAACAGGTGCCTGACAGAAGGTGATGACATAGAGGCAGGCACGGCTCCTGTGTGTCAGGAACTCAGTTCACAGGCGAGACAGGTATGCAGACAATGGGTATACTGAGAAAAGCCTAGCACCACAGTGAAGGTTTTCTTCTACAAAGTAGAACATGAACGCAGGAAGGAGGACTGACCGTATCTGAGTCAGAGAGGCCTCACAAAAGAGATGATGCCCGAACCAAGCTTTACTGGATGTCTTTCCCAGACAGGTGAAAAGGGAGAGGGTGTTTCAAGCAGACGGAAAGAAGAGCGCATGCAAAGACACAGTAAGCTGGGCACATTCAGGGAAGCGGTGCACGGTACTGCTAGAATACAAAGAGCAAAAGGGCAGCAGCAAAACATGAAGCCTGCTGATTTTGTGTATTAGAAAGATTACACCTGCCATAGTGGATCGAAAAGTACTTGCTGGTGGCGGGGAGCAGAAGACAGAGGGAAAATATATCAGAGGCAGAGAGATGGGTAAAAAAAAAAGGCAAAGTAATAGTATACTAGGAGTGAAAAGGACTGAATTCAGATTGAACCTGGGGTGCCTATGAGACACAGCAGTGATGTCCAGCTTAAACGTATGGGTCTGGAGTCTAGGAATGAGATTAAAAAGGACTGACAAATGGAAAAAAAAAGGTGACAGGCAGGCAGTCTTTAAATGATATTGTGAACCACAAATTAATCCTGGCAAGAAACTTGGATAATGCCATATGAAATAATTTTTGTTTGCTTTACAATGTACACGATAAAGTTCACTTCCTTTCAGCTCCCAGAGTAGAAGATCACCTTCCAGGATCCAGGATTTCTATGAATGAGACAGTGAGATCAAAATAACTAAATTCATAGTTGCTCTCAAACTATTGTGCCAAAGAACACTGGTGCTCTGGGAGATGCTAAGAGACACTCCACCGCTAAAACAGAATAATGGTGGTCTTCTATGTTGCTAGACATAGTTTTTCAATTTTCCATTTCTATTCCCATCCATTTTTCATAAACTACTGGTACCAACCACTGCTCAACTAATTGCCAGAGAACAAAACAAATATGTAGAAGACAGAGGTTAAGATTTTGGTGTATAGCACTATGGTAGGCCCGGTATGCAGAGAAACCACTTATGCCATGGCTGAGCTGATGGTAAAGTAAGATGAACAATCAAGTGACCAAAAACCAGGGCTCTAAAGAGCACACGTTGGCAAACTTTATGCAAAGGGCCAGACAGAAAATACTGTAGGTTTCATGGGCCATATATGGTTTCTGTAGCATCTTTTCCTTTGTGTGTGTTTTAAAATATATGTGACACTTCTAAGATACAAAAAACCATTCTTAGCTTGTTGGTCTTGGAAAAACAGGCCTCAGCCAGATCTGTTCCACAGGCCTTCGTTGCCAATCTCTAATAAAGAGGATCAACAAAGCTCAAATCTGGTTCTTCAAAAAGACCAATAAAATGGACAAATCTTTGGCAAGAGTGATCAAGAAAGAGAGAAAAGGCACACACAAAAAAAACAGTAATGGGTATGATAAGAAAGGGAGAGAACTACAGATAGAGCAGGTATTAAGCCAACAGAGCATAAGGAATAATTTTAAATCAGAAACTTGGAAAACAGGTAAGATGGACAAATTCCTAGGAAAATATAAATTTCCCTGACTCAAAAAAAAAAAAAAAGAAAAAAGAAAACCTGAATGGGTCTATACCCATTCAGAAAACTCAATCAGTAGTTAAAAATCTTCTCTCAAAGAAAATTTAAAGTCCAGAAGCAATCACTATCAAGTTCTACCAAATATTCAAGAAGGAAGTAATTCTAATATTAAACTCCTACATTATTTGACTCATTTAATAAAGCATCATTCAACTCCTTTATAAAGCTAAAACAAACAAACAAAAGCTTTCTGAGAGTAACCTTACAGGCCAAACCCACTCAGATATTGGTATCAAATTCCTAAATAAAATACAGAATCCTAAAAAACATAAAAAAGATGGGCTTCTCCCAGGAATGAAAGGTTAGTTCAACATTAGAAAATCCGTTAATGCAATTTTCACCATACTTTAAAAAACCATCTCGATAAATGCAGAAAAAGTTTTTGATAAAATTGAATGATCAATTATGTAAAATCTGTGACATCAATAAGAGAAGAAATCTCCTTAATCTGATTAAATGCTATCTCCAAAAAACTCAAAACAAACATTATACTCAATAAAATACATTCCCTTTCTGAAAACAAACATTATACTCAAAAAAATACATTCCCTTTAACCCAGGAATAAGAAAAGTTTGCCCTTGATCACTACTCCTTCCTATTTAATCTTGCATTAAAAGTCATAGCTAGTAAAATGTAAACACACGCACAAACTAATAAATTATTGAAATGAAATGTGACAGAAAATAATCTTGTTCCCACTTATTAACTGCTACTCCCTAAAAAGGGCATATACCCAGGGGTTTGCTACTAAAAGTTCAACAAGTAGTTCTCCAGGAAAAAAGTGCTGATTGTTTTATTTTCCAGTTTACATGGCATAAATACTCCCACTCTACCAGATTTCAAGTTACCAATGTGATCCCACTAAACATGGTGTTGGAAAGAGAGGCACACAGTAAGCTTTCATGAGCCTGTATGAGCTAGCTCAAACACATCACTGTTTATACTTCCCTCCCCGCACCACGGACATCAGGCTTGGCCATGTGACTTTTTATGGCCAATAAAATGAGAGCATAAGTAATATAGGTGTCTTTAGAGGAGAAGTTTAAAGATTTATTGCATTAATCAGCCTTTTCTCTCTGCTATGAGAAAGTCACATCCCATTGAGCACTGTTCCTTTAGTATGAATCCCAAAATAAAGATGTGGAGCAGAACTTCAGATGGCCAGTGATGGATGTATCAGGAGTGAAAAATAAACATCTGTCACTGAAAGTCCTTGAGGTTGCAGAGTTGCTATTGCAACAAAACCAGACTGATAACGAGACATAGCAAAGGTGCTTAATATAAGATCAATACCTAAGAGTTATTTGTATTACCTAGTTGATATTTACAGAACATTCTTTTCAGATGCACAAGGAATATTTAGCAACATAAACTATGTTCTGGGCCAAAAACAAGTCTTAATAAATTTAAAAGGATTCAAATAACGTAAAGTATGTTCTCTGACCACAATGGTATTAAAGTAGAAATAAAAAACAGAAGGATATTTGGGAAATCCCTAAATATTTGGAAAGTAAATAACACACTTCTAAATAACTCAGGGGTCAAGGATGAAATGAAAAGATAAATCAGAAAGTATTCTGAACTAAAAATACAACATATCAAAATGTGTGTGACAGGCTTAAGGTAGCAATTAGAGAGAAATTTATAGCATCAAACATGTTAAAAAATAAGATCTCGGGGCTCCTGAGTGGCTCAGTGGTCAACTCTTAATTTGGGCTCAGGTCATTATCTCAGGGTGGTGAGATCGAGCCCCACATCAGGTTCTGTACTCAGCAGGGAGTCTGCTTGAGATTCTCTCCCTCTCCCTCTGTCCCACCCCCTGCTTGTGTGCTCTCTCTCTCTCTAAAATAAACAAATCTTTAAAAAAAAATAAGATCTCAATTAAATGATCTTCAATTCCCACCTTGAGAAATCAGAAGAATAGCAAATTAAACCCCCAAGTAATCAGAAGGAAAAAAAATGATCAGAGAAGAAATCACTGACATAGAAAACAAAAAGTAGTAGAGATAAATCAATAAGAAAAACCTGATTCTCTGACAAGATCAACAAAATGGGTAGCCAGCCTGATTAGGAAAAAAAGAAGACATCAATGGCCAACATTGGAAATAAGGGAGAGCACATCACTACAGATTCTACAGATACTAAAAAATAAGGGAGTAGTCATGAACAACTTTTGGCCAATTGGTTCCACCACTAAGATAAAATGAATTCCTTGAAAGACACTGACTACCTAAGTTTACTCAAATGGGAAAAAAAAAAAAACAAAAAAAACATTGCAATAAATTTAAAAATTTTATCTCAGCAAAATTTAAAACTTTTCAAAAGACTATGAAAATGAAAAGCAAGTTATGGGCTCAGAGAAACTATATGTAAAACATTTACCTGACAACAGATTGTATCTCTGATATATAAAGAACTGTTATAATTCAACAATAAGACAAACAACTCCCCCTCCTCCTGCCAAAATGGGCGTTGAACAGACGCCACCAAAGAAGATATTTGAGTGGCAAATAAGCACATGGAAAAAGCCCATTATCATTAGCCACAAGGGAAATGAAAATTAAAAGCACAAGATACCCACTAGAATGACGAAAACAAAAAACACTGACCACACCAAGAATTAGTGAGGATACGGGGCAAATGGAAGTTTCATACACTGCTGGTGAGAATAAAAATGGTATGGTAAAACAATTTTGTAAAAACAGACTGATACTGTCTTAAAAAGTTAACCATATTGGGCGCCTGGGTGGCTCAGATGGTTAAGCGTCTGCCTTCGGCTCAGGTCATGATCTCAGGGTCCTGGGATTGAGTCCCGCATCGGGCTTCCTGCTCCTTGGGAGCCTGCTTCTCCCTCTGCCTCTCTCTCTCTCTCTGTCTCTCATGAATAAATAAATAAAATCTTAAAAAAAAAAAAAAAAAAAGTTAACCATATTCCTATCATATGACCCAGACATTCAACTCACAGGCATTTATCCAAGAGAAATGAAAAATATGTCCACCCAAAGATATGTACCTGAATATTCATAACTTTGTTCATTAGAGCAAAAACACTAGAAACCCAAATGTCCATCAACAAGTGAATAAACAAACTGAGATATATTCATAAAATGGAATGCTACCCAGCAAAGAAAAAGGAACAAACTATCGATATACACGGAATGAATCTCAAAATAATTACAGTTAAAATAATAATTATAGTTAAATATGCCAGAGGGGGAAAAAAAAGAGTACATACTGTATGACTCCATTTACATAAAGTTCTAGAAAATGCAAACTAATATATAATGGACAGAAAGCAAATCGATGGTTACCTAGAGACTTGAGGTGGAGGGAGAGGAGTTATGGATTACCACGGGGCTCAAGGAAACGTTTGGGTACGATAAATATGTTTGCTGTCATGTTTGCAGTGATGGTCATGATAGGTCGACACACACTGCAAAACTCATCAACTTGTGTACTTTAAATATGTACAATTTAGCAGCCCTGGAATGATGAATAGCTATGAAGTCTGATGGAAGGGCTCCGAGAGGTCCTCCACCATTTCCTGCCAAGTAATCTTGCTTCAGTTTAATCTGCCTTCTTAGCCCCAGCACTTTCCATTTATGAAGAAGTAATGTCAGCC